GATATGTGTTTGATATGTGAAAGATTCCTCCAAGTAATTTCTTTATGTCTCTCTTGTACTTTCTACATATACATTCCCAGAGATTGTCGAATCTCACACAGCAATCTCTAGTAAAATTTCAAAGTGTTTTATATAACACACGTAATATTATAAGAGGTTCCTACAAACGTTCGAATACATTCGCGAGCCAGTGTACTATACATACATGTTCAATTTTGCACCCTTATTAAATTCTCTTTGTATACATTCATTACTCCAAAAAGAAAAAGAAAAAAGACTCGAAGAATGCTCGAAACGCTGACACATCGTTGCAGAAGCAAGAAAATTGCAGCAAAATTTCCCGATCTTGAAATTCTCTCATCTCTCGGTCTCGATCGTGCTTGTTATCGTCGCAACGATCGAACACGACACGCGGTCGTACAACAACGTAAATTCTACTCGTGTGTACGCGGAGGATCCCGGCTGGTGTTTAACGGCTAACATGCTTACTAATTCGAAAACGCGAGTCGGCGGTGAGTGTACTTATCTACATGGAAGACGAACGTGGGGCTCGTAGAGGGTGGCTGCCACCCGCGCGGCAACAGCGAGGGAAGACGAGACGCGTTCTCGAGCGAACGATAAGCACTGTAGGTGTAGTGACTTCCGCGTGAAACTCTCGCTCGACCGGCCGGTATAATTAATTAAAGGACAAAGTTCACTGTTCTAGCCGCGCTTCTAATTCTAATCTTATCGGCGTGTTGCCTCTCGCCGCTCGAACGACGCCAGTCTGGCCACCAACTTTTTCTGCTAGATTTTTCTCCCTTTTTGCTTTAACAACGATTTAACTACGTTTAACGTCGGCGCATAACATCACCTGTACCTGTACTTTCAGAATTTCATTTTCCACGCTAATTGCTTGCTAAATGAATTATTTACAATGGCTGTTAGTGCTGCGAGTTTTCACGCGTTCACGGGAAATTTAAAACTGCAAAATGCCACGGGATATTGATTGTATGAATATTTGGTGCATAAAAGGATTTCTCATTTCTTTTTCCAATTACACTTTTTTATAAAATCCGCTGTCCAATTATTAGTTTTCAAATTAGCTATTGGTCGTAATCTTTTACCCGTGCTAGTAAACGAAATTCTGGTCGTAGCAGATTGATAAGAATGATACTGATCCAATGTGATACTAATTTAACCCTTAAAAATAACATAAATTTAAAATCATAAGGAATATACCTTTGATTATTACTAATGAAACATTTTTATCCAATTAACAATCAACGCTCAAACATTTCAGTTAACTTCAATCTCGAATAGGGAAACCGTGCGATGAAAAATTTCTCGAACGAGACGGAGAAAAAGATACACCGGGCAACTGTAGCCAAGTTCGTTAGAAGTCGAAGACTGAAGGAATAAAATTGTATCCGCGGATGCGTTTTTGTTCCATCCAGTTGGTTGTTTTTACCACGGGAAGAATGGTTAAGTTGGAAGACATGGAAAAAGTATATAGGATCGAGGAAGATAAAACGTCGATAAACATAATGACGAATTATCGATGGAAAAATGCACAACAAAGAGAAGAGAAGTGGAAATCGCAGGGAGGAGACGAAGAGCCCGACTCTACTCGAATCGTTCGTCCAAATTAAAAAAAAACGATTGTACTGTTGCCTTCTTACATTTCCCATTTTTATCTCGTCTGTTGAGGTCCAAACGGAAATTCCAATTTCTGCCCCACGAAGCAAGCACGTATCTCCGATGACAAACTGAACTTACACAGGGACAAGTTTGACGAAGTTTCTAGACAGAGTTCGCAGATTAAACGAGCAGGGCGTCGCACGAGCAACGAGAAACGTCACGGAAATAAATAACGCGTTCAGATGTTAATATTACATGGCTTCAGCTCCATAAACTGATAGGGCACGTGTAGGGTGGTGTTGTTGTGCTCCACCAGCAGGTGACCACGCCTGGGAGACGCACCCACGACCAGAACCGTCTCACCCTTCAGGAGGACCATCTCCCCTTCACCCTCTTCTGAAAGAACAATAACTTCACCCGTATTTCGAAAGCAAAACCAAATGCGCAATTCGATGAATCCGAGGAGAATGAACTCGAATCTTTCGCTGATTGCACAGCATCGTCAATAAAAAGTTTATATACTGTGTACACAGTTTTTTAATTCTTTGATGACTGACGTATTTTCCTGCTGTCGCTATCATCTAATTCAAATTTAATCACAAAAAAGATGTTACAATCGTAATGTAAATTGTGGCAATATCGAATTATATAAGGGTTAACTTTCCAGTAATTTTTAGAATTTTTATAAACGATATTTTAACTTCTCCTTCATTGCAATAAATACATTACAAAAGATAAGTTTCTCTGTGGGAAAGTTTGTCTGTGAAAATTTCGAGCGGCTGTAGGGTTGGCATGGAAATTGAAAAAAAAAAAGACAAACGGATATTCTTCAATCTATTCTTAATAGATTGCTAGTTGTAAAAATGAATGAATGTTATCACGACTGAGAAGATCAAATCGCTACCATATATTACCATGCTACCACGTGAAATTCAAAATTACATTTTACAGCGAATCGCCAATAAACAATATCTACTGCCTAACACGAAGCTCAACCGTGTTGACGACGCTCAAATTTTTGCAAGTTTAATAAGATCAACGTTTACAAGTGCAAGCACCTTCTTACCTGGGAAGGGCATTTTCATGATTCTAGTCTGCGGATAGCCCAACTTTGTGTTTCCAGTCACGGTGTATGATCTGCTGGGCGGTACCGGAGGCGGTCGTTCCTGCAACAAAGTTCCATACACTTCCCATTTCGTTTCACGACCTAAACTCACGATCTGAAGCCGCTGGTCCCCGTAAACGGCGTTTGCTAGCTTCGCTTACCAAATCCAGTCCGAACAGGGTGCACGTTTGCTGGATCATCTTTTGGTCTGCACATTTCTCCGATGGATCGGGAGGTGGCGTGCCAGCGATTGGTTGAGGCCTCGGTCGCGTTCCGGTTCCGGTACCTGCGGCCGTCGTAACGTTCCTTTGAACAGTTCCCGTATTTGTGGACGTTGGCTGTTGCGGCTTTTTCTGGCCGATACCGGATGTAACACCTATGGTGGTCTTTCTCAGGGGCCACCTTCTTCGCACTCGCCAACCTCTCCACGTCGACTGAAGTAGCGTGTTTTTCGTTAGGAATTTTTTAAAATCGGATCAGCAGGGTCTTTCTTTCTTTTTTTTTTATTGACACTTGACAAAGGATTCTTCTTCGAAACCTTTTCTTTCGACAATTGTTCCCAGATACGAGATTTCAGGAAATCTTAGTTCCCCTTTGTTAAAGAGATTTGCGATCAATTTTTTCCCTAAATTCTTCCTCGATAACGACAGATCTCTATGCGCGAGAGAATTGAGAAATTATCGAAGGAAGATTATATCGGAGGTGAAAAGCTTGAAATTATTCCAATTCATTATTACAGTAACTTCAAACGAAATTCCATCGTAGCTTACTGATATTCAAAAATCTTAAAAATGTTGAAAAAACACACACACACACACACGTTCTGAAGGTGAAATAAATTCTAGACATTTCAAAGAACGCGTCTCCTTCGAGCAGACAGAAAGAGCGCCAAACGAATAACTTTTATTAAAGTTTCGTCGGCAATTAGAAGATAAGGGGGCCGCGAAAAATTCCATTACCTGTATTGCGGTGGCGGCTTTCCTGCGCGTTTCCGAGCGTAAGTTCTCGAGCTGTTGCCTAATGCCCTCGCTAAGGAAGATGTGCCTCTTGCCGAGCGCCCAGCTGGTGCTCGCGCCGAATTTGCTCTTCAGTTGCTGGGCGTTCTGCAAGATCAGCTTCGTGTCCTCGACCGCTTGCTCCTCGGCGCGGCGCAATTGCTTGAACGGCGCGATCAGCCTGTATCTCGCGTTGAACGCCTTGAAACGCATTCGATGCGGATAACCTGCAATATTCTCGAGTTTTAAGGGGGAAATTCTAACAATCGAATAACAAACATGTCCCTCTGAATGAAAATCAAACGCTACCCGTTAAACATTATTAATTCCGAATAATATTAATAATTATCGATAAAGTAGAATTGAAAATTTTTCATTATTAGAGATTGCTATAATAATGTGCTGTACAAAGAATCTACTTGACTTTCAGAGTGTTTACGTGCTTAAGATTGGTCGACTAAAAATAAACAAATAATCCAGCAAAAGTTTGTTATCTACTACAAAATTGACTAAAAGATATCCAATGTTTATTATATATGTATATTAAATATTAAAAGTCTCTTTCACTATTTTGAGGAAAGAGCCACTGAAATAAGGTCAAACGGCGTTGGCGATAACAGGCAAAGAGATCTATCGCGCGCATATGTAAATTTCCTGTCGTTGATAGTTTCAAGACGTACCGCCGGCCATTAGATTCACCGTCTCGAGAACCTGAAGGGATCGTATCTGACGCATAGTCACGCCTCTGTCTAAGTGAAGCGGCGTCTCGGTACCGTTGCTCCTAATGCATCTGACAAAGTGGGGCCTCGCGTGGACCAACGTCCTCAGGAGATTATCCAGCCTCGTGTGGAAGTCCTGCGTTAACGTGGAGATCGGCTCGTCCCCGTTCAGCCTGAGAAAAAGAATATCACCGACTATCACTTTTAACTATATTCGAAATTTTCAAATATCAACGAATTACATTTCAGTTCAGTGTTGATCTGATAATTTTTTTTTTTTTTTATTAGTTTGGAAGTCGTTTCTGTGTGTTCTTCATTTTTTATTAGAAGAAAAAACGAAAATGACAGAATTCTAAAGTGACTTTCTTTTCGGAGAAATACAGGATCTTGATCTTACAAGTCGGTGTGAGATGTAGGTGATATCCTGAAGCTGACACCCCTGGGTACCGTATCACTCGCGTAGAGAGCTTTCAGCTCACTGCCGAACAGGTGGGTTGCGAAACCAAAGCTGCACGTGTGCTTGTAGAACACAGCTACCAGATCGTCGGGAACTACGTCCTTGTTGGTATCTTTATTGAAAAATTCGAGAATTCAATTTTGAGAGAAACGGACTTTAAAAACCCTTCGAACCAGATTTGAAGTGTGAATTTAAAAACAACAACATCAGTTTTAACTCTGACATTAATTTCAATTTATAAGATACTATGATAATATTTCAATACTTTGCTTCATATTGTAAGATATATATCAGCAAGGATTATGAAACAAATTTTTCACGAGAAGGAAATAAAAACTCTGGTGATTTGAATAATTTTATATGACAGAAACATTATCATCTACGTACCAAGAAAATCAGATGCATCGTATGTGACTCTGCCAGCGAAATGCTGAATCCCAAATGACCTGCAATCCACGGTCCTAGGTTCGAACAACCGTGGATTCTGTTTGTGCTGAACCTTCACTTTCGCCACGTAGCTCTCAGCAGTGCCGCGAATCGAGCACTCGACGTCCAGCATACTCAATAGACCGGTCCTCTATGGAACAGATCGCACAAATCCACGTGCTACACGCTCCTCGATCAAATCTCAGAAGGAAATTAACTATTAAGGATTTATCGAACGCTCACCAGAGACGAGATAAGATCAATGCATGGCACGTTATCGACGTAGTCGACCTCCACGTCGCATCGTATACCCTCGTCGCGGCAGCTCTCGATCGAGCTCTTGAATATATGCGTGTTGTAAAAGTGTTGCATCGTCTCCGCGCACAGATTGATACACAAGTGTTCCAGCTGACTTGGCTTTGGATCCTCGAATCCAAACATGTCCAAAATCCCGATAAATCCGTCGGTTGCGTGTCGTACCGCGTTGTTCAGCGCGGTCATGCTTCTGGAACCGGTGCCACCTGCGCGTGACACGAGAGATTGCGACTAATATGAGAAAAGAATGGATTCAAAAGCAATGAAACCGATAAGGCTGGGTAATGGGTACATTTTTGCTAAGTAATACGTGTTATTCCGCCTTTATTATTTGGCCTTTGCCAACCACGTTTGCCTCGCAATACCCAGTTATATTCGAGATACGAATTGCGGCTCTGATTCAACAAAGATAGGATCGCATTTGTAACGAAGTCTGGTTTCAATTTAAGATTCGGTATTAAGCCTTATCAAGGATTAATCGCCAGACATAAATTGTACATGATGTTTCAATAATCTGCATACTTCGCACAATGTTACAGCAGTAAATAGCCAAGGGCTGCGGTTAAGTAATTAGTGAAATAGCAAGGGGTTAGTTTCCTTTCCTCAAACAAATTGCAAGTTAAACAGAACTTTCATTCGACACAATTTTTGGCCAATGATGTATATCAAAATTGTGTCTATTGTTTTAATAAAAAGTCGTGTTATGCAGTCACGAAGCCTTACTTAACTTTTATACCAAGAGTGAAGTAAGCTATGAAATATGTACATGCATGTGTACGTGTGATAAAGCTTTTATACTGGGTACATAAATAAAGTGTAAAATATTCGAAATATTATTGTCAAAATTTTTTTTCACATTTCTTGCAAATTTACAAACTCTACCTACCCGCAGAGCTGCCAATAGTGGACGCGTGTTGACTGGTCACCTCGGCCTGATTATGGACAGACTCGTTCGAGTCCGACGACAACGTACCAAGGGTGGAGCCTAGTCTCTTCAAGCTGTTGGCCCTTCTGACGATCGTAGCCACGGTACGACAGTACAGAGCTTTGGCCAGCGAGTCCCTGGTCATGTTAGACTGCATAAACAAACACCCTTCTCAGCATGGTTCTAGCTCAACGTTACGGCACAGATTCCACGGAATGAGTTAACAGTACCATATTTGCGTCGCAGACCGACTTCACCAGCTGGCCACGGGCATTGTGCGTCCTCGAGGTGAGACCTCTGAGCAACGCTGGCGGCGGCACACCTAGAAGAGCCGCGACAGAAGCTAGTTCGTTCTCACCAATGACACCGACCTCCATTCCTGGCCGATCCGTGAAACCGACGTTGCCCAGGATCAACACCGCTGCCAACACTCGCACCACGTCTAAGAAGGGTATACCTAACACACCTGTGAAGAATAATTCACGCTATCTGAGAAGAATGTGTGAAAGTCCCTCTTCCGGAGGTAATTGATATTTAAATAATATTACTTTATGCCGTACTCGCGAGTATATGAAAATATTTTTCTCGAGGCGAAATTTATTCGCGTGTACAATAATTTTATACTTGTTTGAAGTATATATTCTTCTTGAGAATTATTCCAATAAATTTGTGAAATTCAATATAGTTAGAAATTCCTGTTCAAATATCTAAAACCGGTACAATTTGGAATTTCAAAAGACTGGGGAAATTTAGGATGATAAATTGCACTACTAATTGCACTATTTTAGAATTTAAAATAAAATTTCACGCGCTAAAGAAGTGATAGATGATAAATTCGTATTTAAATATTCCCAATACAATGCGAGATATTTGCTGTACATATTACAAAAGGGCATACCCAAACAGGCTTTCCACGCTTGAAATCTGATGGCGTCTTCAGCTTCATCTTGTCTAGTGTCTCCATGCTGTAGATACCTCAGATTCTTCAAGTTATACCCCTCCAAGTTAAGTTTGACTACCGAACAAACCAGAAATAAACCAAATGAACGAATTGACGCTAATGAAACATCCACATCTTGTGAAAACATTAACTCTGTCTACCTCGTTCCTCGTGCGACAAGCCAGCTAACATTTGATAAAATATGTGATAGTTCTTCTCGTCCGGTAGAGGCCTGATAACTCGAGTTTGGTCCAAGAAGTAACAGTGTATCTTCGTTCTGTACAGGGCACCGTCCGTAACCTGGACCTCTATAAAGTGACCCTGCAGAAATAACTCTTACAATCCCTTCCATTCTGGCCGATTTCGAAGAAAGAGAAAGAGTAAAGACGAATTTATCACGTACTATCCTAGAACTCTCCGAGTTGGTGGCCGTCTTTGCAGATCCCAGGGACCTAAGAACTGTGAAGGCTGCCGCCAAATGTTTGAAAGCGTCCGTTTCTGGACCACCACCAGCCACGTCGAACAACTGTCTAAGTAACAACATGGAGGCGTACGTCTTTCCGGAACCACTAGTTCCTAAAGAACAATTACTCAGAAATAACTTCGTAGAACAGATGAAACAAAGCATGCAGATGTAGTTGAAAGTTTCTCGACGAAAGTGTTAAAATCTCAGGTTACTATTATTACTTATTAAATTTTAGGGCACTATTAACGTTATTGTTTCTCGTGTAAAATATTATTTCGTTTCTTTGGGAAAATGGAAAGCGAAAAGATGTCGATTGTAAATCAATTACACCTACCACCGAAAATTATCCAAATGGAGCAAATTTAATATTCTTCTTGCCCCTCACTAATTACAGACAACAGGAAGTGAAAATAAAGAAACTACAACGGGCACAGTACAGAGTACAGAAAGCTAAGGAGAAATAATAAATAAAAAGAAAAAGGAGAAGTTTCAAGACAAATATATTTATCGGATGTTTTACCGGAAAGAATGATGGCCTGAGGGTATCCAGTTTCCGATTGCTGTCGCACGGCCTCCTGAACGACTTTGTTCAACTGAGGCGCCAGAGGTACGGCCCTGGTGCTCGTTAAGGTCAATGGATTCCTGACGTCCGTATATGGATTGATACAGACCAGTATGGGTCCCACGTTCGTCTGAAATGCGTTTCGATTATCTACTCGTCCGCGATTGTCGGTTCGTCCACAAAGCTTCTTGACACGCGGCTACAGCTCCTCCCCATCAGCGACCACGCGAAATGAGACTACTTTTTTCATCGTCGTCCGAGCGGCTTTTTGCATTGTTATTGCGTATCGGACGCGTGGGTTATAGATGCCTAGACGCCGCGCGCTTTGCAACCAGCCATCGGGCAAGATTAATCGTGGCTCGGTCTTCTACCGGGTCTGATTATACCGAGCTGATACAAGAGGCATCTATCTTGCCTCTGTTATTACGTGGCACTGATCACCACCCGGAATTATTCCCGCCCGGAAATGGGGAAAAAATTGAAATCAAATTATCCTGTCTACGATTCTATTGAGAAGATTCATCCTCCTAGACTAAAGGCATGTTTATTGGAAATTTAACGCGGTACTATATGTCTAAAATCCATGAAGCACGCGATATCAAGTAGCTTTCATTATTAGACTACAGATGTGTATGAATTGAATCATTCCAAATGTTTGGATATTTTATATATTTTGATACGTTATGCGCATAGAAATAGAAGCTTGTTTCAAGCTCTCCGAATGTGTGTAGGATTATGCGTAGTCGCTATTAGACGAAGCAGTTCGATCGAAGTTCCCCAGACTACCAATAACAATCCACTTTCACTGCAAAGAAAAGGAATCAACTCGCCGAACCACACGTTCCCTCGAGAGACCCTGGTCGAGCGGAAATCTAAACAAGATTCGCGAGTGTACTTGAAAGGATATATTCTCGAAAAGGGTTGTAGCGCGCGCTGGGAAAACTGGGACATCCGCGCGAAACACGGAAAACGATGAAGAGGAATCGGAGAGAAGAACAACTGCCAACGTAAACAACTGGCAATGCAAACAGACAGAGGTAAAAAAAAAAACGTAAATGAACAAACCCAAGGAGTATAAACAAGCGAGGAATGCGAACGATAGATGTAACGAGTGGATAATGAGATCGGTATAATTAATTAAGTGGCGGATATCGGGAAAGAAAATGACGAAAGGGGAAGTAATTGCGACGACGGATACCGGCACCGGAAACGAAGTGGTTTTTACGTCCATCAGGGCAGCTCGGTGCAATCAAACGCACCGCGCGATATCTGTCCACGGTCAACGAGACCATCGACGAGAGTTTTTCACCCGAGGCGTTCCCTTTCTTTCGCCCCGGTTTCCCCTCGTTTCAACGACCTATTGAGAAACTGCCGATTTCTCCTTCTCGAGCACAGCATCGGCCATCTCTGAAGGGAACACTCGGTCGAGACCTCGTTAAATTCGACAAATATTCGATGGTACATCGGCCGCGGCCGAACAACGATAATCGATAAACCGGCAGAACTCGGTGAGAAGATCTTTCTCTCTCTCTCTCTCTCTCTCTCTCAAGATTTGAGAGTTTGGTTTAATTGAGCGTTCGAGGTAGTTTGAAACGTGTACACGTGAAGAATTAAGGATTAGCGTTCTCAACCCTTTTACCACCAATAGATCGATGCATTGCCCCTGTGTGCTTATATTAAAATTGTCACGGACCGATATTTCCACACACGGTCAAACGTTCTTTATGAAATTCATAAAATCGGCTCTGGCAATTTTTTTGGCATTTAGAATTGTCAATAAAAGGGTTAATAAACCTAGTTCAGGGAATCCCCAAATTGTACGATCTTCAACGTGACAAAGATTTTGTCACTCAAAAGGAGCACTTTCTCATTTTTAATATATATATATATATATATATATAGTAGGTAATAAGTTCTCTCGGTTGCACAATCGTTAGTACATTAACAGTTTAAAGTTCTTTCTTGCATAATGTATCATTTAATAATAAATATGACAGTTATAACATGTCTATTAAAGATTACACGCATCGAAGTCACGGAATACGTGAAACAAGGATCTCTGGTGATCTCAGACTCATCGAGCGAGTTTTCCACGATTTTAGAAATGTTCTCGGTGTTAAATGGTTCGGTACAGTATCTCTCCTGCACCGGGACATTCATCTCAATTAGAAGCGGCGCGAACTTATCGTGTCCTGTCGTCACTATCGAGCCAGAGAGTGATTGATGCACTGGTCGATTGAATTGGCAAAGAGCGAAGAATTGTGCAGCTCGATTGGGTTGAAATTCGTGGCAATTATCGGGATAATGCCGATAAAAGAAAGAAAAAAAAAAAAAAAAAAACAGCCGACGAACGCGTCGAGACTATCGCAGCGAGAAAATTTGACACCACTTGTATCTCCATCTTTTCCAATATGCAAATTCATTGATCCTCCCGTTAGTTTATTTTTGAACGAGCACAAATGACACACCTCTTCCAATTACTCATTATTCTACGTTTAACAAGCACTAGTATTAAATTGAAATTCGTCGTCAAATATCGTTAATTAATTAATTTCAAACGAACCGACGTTTGCCTAGATTGAATTGAAAACTGACATCGAATATAATTAACTTTCGACGAGTCGACGCGACTAGAACTAATAACTTAATTGAAAGAAAACACCGTCGTCGTTTGAACTATGGATGAGCTAATTTGACAATTTTTTTTTTCTTACTCAAGTCACACATCATACTATTCTACACTTTACAGTTCACAGTGGAAGCCATCAAACTTCAACTAGAGAAAGAAATAATCGAAAAACAAGAAGAAGAGGGAAAGTAGTGATACTCACGTGATACTGTTTGGCGCAGAAGCGAGCTTGCAGACACTTGAGCACCGCATCCTCCGTCAGAGGCCCAGGCAGATGAATGAGGTCGTCCAAGGCCGTGGAGGTCGCAGGCCCTGACGAAGCCGCGGTACCCTTCGGAAGACATCGATGCTGACCCTGGTTGCTTTTCGCGTTTTTCACGTCGGCGATGATGCTCGAGATCGGCGGCGACCGTAGACAACCGAGCGCCGTCACGCACGAGACTATACCGTCGTCTGAGATCCTATTGTGTCGCTTTGGTGGATCTAAATCTGTTACACAAACGAGGAACACTCACGATCAATAATTCCGAAACAGTTAAAAGCCAAAAGCGAAGACTATTATTTCTTGCGTAACCATTCAACGCCTGAATTGTGAAGATATATTCTACGATACAGTGCAACTTCAACAAGATTGTAAATTTCTTAGGATAAAGAAATCGGGTGGATCTTGCACGAGGCGTTAAGAAAGAAGTCGAAATATTTCAAAGTACTAGAAGCTTGAACGTGTTACATTTCGCAGAGTTTTTCCTCGTCGAGAGAAAGACGAGAGATCGAATCGCGGTTAACTGTACTCGCGTGCAATTTCGCCCAGGCGAGACTCAATTAACCGGAAGGGATCGAAGATCAGACGCAGCCCCCGTGAACTTCGTTTCGGCCTCGACGCGCAAACGTTTTTGTTTTTCTCGAGTTTGGAAATCGCGCGAGAAGGGTTCACGTCCCGAGTGAAAACCGCAACCTCTCGCATCGTGGTGATTTTTATACATTCCCTTTTTTTTTTTTTTTTT